GAACTGCTCACAGTGGTGCATTCCACCTGCTACATGTGGAAGCAATGATTGGGCCCTGAGATTGAATGCAGGGTAAGAATTACTCATACCCATTGCCGTCAAAGTCAATTCCGACTCGTAGTGACCCTAAAGGACAGAGTAGAACTGCCCCATAGGGTTTCCAAGGAGCATCTGGTGGATTCAAACTGCTAACCTTCTGGTTAGCAGCCGTAGTTCTTAACCACTGTGCTGCCAGGGTTAGGAGTTCCAATCTCTTGAAAAGTACCACTACAATGCATTATTCCTTATTGGAAAGGCATTATTTACTGTTCAGAAGCCAGAAAAGTAGGGAGCCAATAATACCTGGAAACAATGAATGGCATAAACGAGAAAATGGCCATTTTGACTGAATGAAGACTGGCAATAGCTTATTCTCACTGTAAGTACATTCTCACGAGTACATAGTAACTGGGAAACATAGTGAGGAAGCATATCTCACAGAAATAAAGGCAAACCTGTCAAAAGTTTAGAAAATTCCCACATCCAGGAGGGTATCACCTAAGACAATGCTGAATCTACACAAACATGAGGCTCCCACTCAGGATTTTTGAGTTTCACCTGTTTCAGAAGGCTCCTAACTTGAGGCTAAATGCATTAAAATCGGGCTACTCCCTTTCTAAAGAACTCTAGAGGCATAAAAATTGGGTGGGATACTGTACGTCCCACAGGTCTTGAAGGGGATACCTAGAATAGCCAAATATACAGAGATCAGAATTTGATAGTGGTTACCAGCGGTGGGAGAGAGGGAGAAAGGGGAAACCATTGTTTAGGAAGCATTGAACTTCTGTTTACGGTGGGCAAAATTTGGCAACAGATATTGGTGATAGTTGCACAACATGATGTAATTGATGTCACTGAATTGTACATTTGAAAAATGTTGAGTTGGCAAGTGCTGTTTTGTCTATATTTTTACAACAATGAAAAAAAAGATGAAAATTCCTTTCTCAGAAATGTTATTTGCAAACATTTTCTCCAGTTTGTGGCTTTTCTTTTCATTTTCTTAATATTGTCAAAAAGCAGAAGTTTTTAAGTTTGATGAGGTCCTATTTGTCAGTATTTCTTTTATAGATTATGCTTTTGTTGTCATATCTAATAACTCTCTTCCTAACCCAAGGTCACAAAGATATTCTTCTATTACATTTTCTTATAGAAGTTTTAAAGTTTTAGGTTCTACATTTAAGTCTATAATGCATTTTGAGTTAATTTTTGTATATGGTGTGAAATATGGATCAAGGTTTATTTATGTTATTTTGTTTTTTGCATGACTGTGCAATTTTTCCAGCATCATTTGCTGAAAAGACTATCCTTTGTCCATTGAATTGTATTTTTACCTTTGTTGAAAATCAGTTGACCACGTACATGTGAGTCTTTCTAGACTCTATCTTGTTTCATTGATCTATTTGTCTAACTATTTGCCAACACCAGACTGTCTTGAATACTGTAGTTGCACATTAAGTCTTGAAATCATGTGGTGTACGTCCTCTAACATTTTTTCTTTTTCAATATTGATTTGGCTATTCTGTTTCATTTGCCTTTCCAAGTAATAGTTTAAATTACCATGTCAATGTTTATAAAATATCTTGCTGGTTATTGGGATTGGGACTACACTGAATCTATAGATAAGTTTGGGGAGAATTGACATCTTAATATTGTGTCTTCCAATCCATGAACAAGATATGTCTCTCCATTTTTTAGGCTTTCTTTGATTTCCTTCATCATCGTATTGTAGTTTTCAGAGTGGAGATCTTGCACATATTTTGTTAGATTTATACCTAATTATTTGCATGTTTTTTTGAGCTATCGCAAATGGTACTTTTATAAAATTTCAATTTCTAATTGTTCATTATAGAATATGGAAATGTAGTTGGTTTTTGTATATTGACCTTGTGTCCTGCAATCTTGCTAAATTTGCTTACTGTTTATAATAACTTTTTAAATAGATTCTTTGGGATTTTCTTTGTAGACAATCATACCATCTGTATATAGAAACAGTTTTACTTCCTGCTTTCTAATATGTATACTTTTTATTTCTTTTTCTTGCCAGAACTCACTGGCTAGGATCTCCAATACAATGTTTAATAAGAATGGTGGAACAGATATCCTTGCATAATTCCCAGTCTTACGGGAAAAGCATTAAATCTTTGGGCCTTAAGTATGATATTTAGCTATAGGGATTTTTGTAGATGCTCTTTATAAAGTTGAGTAACTCCCCTCCTACTTTGCTTTTTCTGCATCTATTGAAATGATATGTTTGACATGATGAATTACATTGATTTTCAAATACTGAACCAGCCTTGTTTTCCCAGGATAAACCTCACTTACTCATGACATATTATCCTTTTTATATATTCTTGGATTTTATTTGCTAAAATTTTGTTGATAATTTTTACATCTATTTTCATGAGAGATATTGGTCTGTAGTTTACTTGCAATAGTTTTATCTGGTTTTGATATCAGTGTAATGCTTGCCTCAAAGATTCATTTGGGAAGCATTCTGCCTTCTTCAGTTTTCTGGAAGGCTTTGATAGAATTCACCTGTGAAGCTATCTGACCCTGGAGTTTTCTTTGTGAGAAGGTTTTTAACAACAAATTAAATTTCTTTTAAAAGATATAGGAAATTCAGGTTATCTATTTCTACTTGAGTGAGCTTTGGTAATTTGTATCTTTCAAAGAATCCATGCATTTCGTCTAAGTTGTTGAATTTATTGGCATAAAGTTGTTTACAATATTCCCTCTTTATCCTGTAGGATCTGCCATGGAGTCTCCTTTTTGTCCCTGATATTGATATTTTGAGTCTTCTCACTTTTTGTCTTTGTCAGTGTTGCTAAAAGTTTATCAGCTTTTGCAGATCTTTTCAAATAACCGGTTTTTGGTCTCATTGATTTTTGCTATTGATTTTCTGTCTTCAATTTCATTGATTTCTCTTCTTTATTATTTCAGTCCTTCTGTTTGCTTTTCATTTATTTTACTCTACATTATCTAGTTTCTTAAAATGTTGATTTGAGACTTTTCCCCCTTTCTGATATAGGTATTTAGTGCTATAAATTTCCCTCTAAGTACTGTGTTAGCTGGATGCCACTCATTTTGATATATTTTCATTTTCATTTAGTACAAAATACTTATTAATTTACCTTTTGATTTCTTCTTCAACTCATGGGCTATTTATATGTTACCAGAATTTTAAAAGTGGTTATATTCTGGTGCTGGAATTATGTGCAGTGTTTCATTCCTCTGTATACTTTTATGTTCTTATTGTGTTCTTGCTGTGTGTTTGTGTATATTTTCCAGTTTTCTGCATTTAATATGTATTACCTTTCTAATTAGAAAAAATAATTAGTATAAAATAACACTTTATATTTTGTAGCACTTTATAATGTACAAAGAACTTCAATTAATCCTCCAACATCTGCTAGAGGAACGTATAATCTATATTTCGCAGATATTAAAAACTGGCTGATAGAAGTTAAGTGACTTGCTCAGTGCCACACAGCTAGAGCTAGTTAAGATTCAAACCCAGGTTTTCTGTCTCTCAGTTTACTATTCTGAAGAAGTTGTAAATAAAGGTTTGAACGTTAAACTGCAGTGTATCTGTGGGCAGTGGGAAAAAGTCATAGACGGTCTTTCAACCAATAAGTGACATGAGGCACTTATCTTAGAGTAGTTTTAATTTGAATCTCTGATTATTAGCGAGGTTGAGTATCTTTTCATATGTTTATTGCCTGTTTCCATTTCTTCCCTGAATTGCCTCTTAATGTCCTTAGATCATTTCTCCATTGAATTACTTGGTTCTGTACTTATCAATTTTAATGATTAAAAATGTTCCAGATACTAATACTGTGTTTATTATTTGTTAGAACTATCATCTCCCAGTTTCTTGCTTATCTGTCTTTTCTTTTTTCTTTTCTTTTGATCCTCAGGGAAATTTGTACTAGAGAATGGGGAAGATTAATGTGTTTGCTGCCTGAGGAGTTTTGGTTATTTTGGCCTTGTATGATGGGAAGCAGGAGATAAAAGAGAATGAGATTAGAAGAAAAACCACTTGATTTGGAAATTCAATTTACCAGTCATTTGCCAATTGCTAACATTTATTGTCCACAGTGTGCTAGGTAGGCCATGTGATGGATAGAGAGTAAAGAATAAATGTTGCCCATTTTTGATGACCTTGTAACCTGATGGAGAAATAAGACGTGTAAAATAAGACAAGTAACATATGTGCTCAAGTAACTATGATACAAGAGAAGTTGTGGCTCCAAAATTTCTCTTGTAGCAAAGGGGAGGGAGAAAGTACTTTTGGGATAATTGAGGGTTGTCTATATAAGAAGAAGTCTGTAAGTTGAATGGAAGCAGAGACTGTGTGTATTTTTGCTCATCATTTTATCCCCAGCACTTAGCATAGTGCCCAGCAAAGAGTAGATGCTCAAATATTTGTTTCATAATTGACTCATGTTAGCATGTGTGGGAAAAGCCATTTATAGGGATCTACCACAATGTATTTTAGTCCATCACCCTTACACTACCACCAAGCAGCTGTGAGAATGTTCTCATACATCAGTATTTCAGACGTTAGCTTTTGTTTCTCAAAGAAAGGGAAAACAAGGTTTTTCAGGAGGATATATGATATTCTCCTTTACCTTATCATTATTGCAGAGCAGTAGTTAAGAGTTTGGGCTTCACTGTCAGACAAACCAGGCTTTGGCTCCCACCTCAGCTACTAATTGGTTACATGACCCTTGATTTTCCTCATCTATAAGATGGGAATAATTGTAGTACCTTATTGGGTCATTGTAAGGGTTCAATGATCATAGCATGTAAAATCCTGAGCCCATAGTAGGGGTTCTGTAAATGTTCCCTATGCCTCTTTCCCTGATGTGTACTAAAACAGATGTAACCTGTGATTGCCTTTGAATTTTGTGACTTGGTGCATTTTCTAACAAGCATATTTTCCATCTCCTTCTCCACAGATTCAGAGACATATTGTATGTTTCAAGACAAGAAATACAGAGTGGGTGAGAGATGGCATCCTTACCTGGAACCTTATGGGTTGGTTTACTGTGTGAACTGCATCTGCTCAGAGGTACAGTCCCTCAAGGCGTGTGATTTCCCAGTTTGCTCCTTAGCATGCAGAGGGGCCTTCTCAGTACTCAGATGGCCAGGGAGTTCAGGTGATAAAAGCCTAAAAGAAATTAGGTAGCAGATTGCAAGAAAAAATAAATATCTCTGGCATTTTTCTTCTGTTGCCTTTTGGCTTGATTTTCATGGAATCACTGGGTATTTTGCTATGGACAGACACTTTGATCTTTTTTTAAAAAAAACATTGCCATTGAGTTGATTCTGACTGATAGCAACTAATGATATAGGACATGGTGGGATAAGGTAGAATATTTTGATAGTGGGAGTGGAGAAAAGCTTAGTATAATTCCTCAGTTGTAAAACAAAATAGTTTTTGAAAACCATTTCCAAGTATGACGTCTAGAGAAGATACTGAAACAGAGTATAAATTGGTTCATTGGGAGAGTGTATTTTATGTTGTCTCAACCAATAACCATTGGCCATTGCTCCTGTCCAATCATTCAAAGAGCCGTTACAACCGACAAAGCAGGTAGTTCCATCTTCTTTCCATGGTCTTGACTCAGGACCACAGTTGTGGTCCATCATTCTGAACAAGCCTCTGCCATCTTGCACTAGGCAAAATGTCTGTACTACTGACATTTTGGGCTGGATAATTCTTGGTTGTAGGGGGCTGTTCTGTGCATTGTAAGATGTTTGCTGGGATTCCTGGTCTCTGCCCACTAGACAACAGCATCGCTTCCTCTCCCCAGTTGTAACAACAAAAAGGACTCCAGACATGGCCAAAGTTGCCTGGGGTGCAAAATCATCCCTGGTTGAGAAACACTGAAGTGGGCCAATTGGGAAGGGAAGCTGTATGGATTGAACTGTATCCCTCGCAAATATTACTGGAGTCTTGGTGGTGTAGTGGTTAAGAGCTCGGCTGCTCACCAAAAGGTCGGCAGTTCAAAACCACCAGCTGCTCCTTGGAAATCCTGTGGGGCAGTTCTGCTCTGTCCTATAGGGTTGCTGTGAGTCGAAACCGACTCGACGGCACCTAACAACAACAACAACAAATATTATTGTAAATACTAATCCTTATACCTGTAGATAAGGAGCCTTGGTGGCACAGTCGTTAAAGTGCTCCGCTGCTAACTGAAAGGTTGGCAGTTCGAACCCACTAGCCACTCCATGGGAGAAAGATGTGGCAGTCTGCTTCCATAAAGATTACAGCTTTGGAAACCCTATGGGGCAGTTCTACTCTGTCCTATAGGGTCGCTATGAGTCAGAATCGACTCAATGGCAGTGGGTGGGTTTATACCTGTGGATGTAATCCCATTTAGGAATAAGGTTTCTTGTTATGTTAATGAGGCCATGTCAGTGTAGTATGTGTTTTAAGCCAATCACTTTTGAGATATAAAAAGAACAGATTAGGCACAGAAGGAAGCAAGCACAGATGGAGGAACATAGATGCCACACCACACGAAGACTGACAAGGAACCAAGGAATAGAAGCTGAATAGACAAGGACCTTCCCCTAGAGCCAACAGAGACAGAAGGACTTCTCCTAGAGCCAGTGTCCTGAATTTGGTACTTCTAGCCTCCTAAACGATGAGAAAATAAATTTCACTACATTAAAGCCACCCACTTGTGTCTTAGCTTGAGACCCTGTAGAAGACTTGTAACTCTTCCCTAGTGCTCAGGTAGAGCAGGAGCAATCACTTGCAAGCCTGATCCTTTTGCTATTTGTACAGAAAATTGGGCTGCCAGAATTTTGAGCATGTGGAAACCTAACCTTTCAGGCAACATAAAGTGATGTTAAGAGGTTGTGGGGTTCTAGAGTGAAGACAGGCCAAATTTTCAATCCTGGCTCTACCACATATGAGCCATGCTATGTTGGATAAGTTACAGAGCCTCTCTTAGCTCCTCTACCTTCTTCTTATTTAAAATCAGATAATAATATTACCTATTTCATAGAAACCATTTAACTCACATGAAACAGTGCTTGGCTCATGGTAAACAATAAATGTTAACTGCTGCTATTGTCATCATCATCATCATCATCTTCATTGTGGTTATTATTATTTTTATTAATCTATTAACTCTAGAACAGAATTCAGTGTAAAGCATTAAGGAGGGTTCAGCTTGGATCTCATCAGGAAGGGTGTGATTTTGGATGTGCCTCAGTGATCTTACTTTAAGATGATACCACCTGATTCTGAGGAGTGTGATATATAAAGAAAGAGGTTCTGTGCTGTTTCCAAATGCATCACTGCAAAAATCTATTCTAGAAAGTATATGAGAAAGCAAAAAGTTTGTAGTAAGGCGATTCAGATTTGGATAAAAGAAGCCTATCTCTTTAAATGGCTAAGGCATATATTAAATGGAGCATCTGGGGACTGATTAACCTCCTGGTAGGGCATGATTGTTTTAGATTCTTGTCCCAACACATTGGAGATGGACAGCTAACCCTTGGGGGCTGAGGCTTTGATGTCTGCAGGACAGTGAAAATGATAATAGGATCCCAATGCCAGCATTTCAAGCAGTAGGCGTCTTCTCTTTCTCCATCCTCTTCCCTACCTTCTTCTCCCACAACAGCCTGAAAAATACAAGTAGCCCTTACTTCAAATGAATTATGGATGGAAAATGTAAATGAAAAATTGATTTCTAAAGTCTTCCTTTGTTCTAGCAATGGCTGTGAGCTGTTAAAGCTAGGGATCTTGTAATTGCAAATCAGTCTAGGACCCAGTCACTCCACCCAGGCATACTAGCTAACCAGTCCAATTCCAAACTCTAGCTTGTTCTCAGAAAAACTGTGACTAAAAGGGAAATGAGGAGAAGAGTTGCTCAGCCTACTGGACCAAGGCACAGTTATATAGAATCCAGTATCCATGTGCTAGGGAATGCCTCCTTGTTCAGGGTTGGGTAGGAGCTCAAGGGACCCATCACTCATTATCTCTTCCCTTCCATGGCATTGGGAGGGTGATTATGAAATCAGACTAGGTTCTTCGAAAAGACTTGCAGCTAATGCTGGGGAATGGTAGAAATGCCTCAGAGCCAGGCCAATATGAACCTCCCACAATTAGTGGGAGGCTTTGAAAACTGGAGCAGTAGTGATCCCAACCTTAGTAGAATATGCCAGTAAGCTATCATCCAACCCAGCAGAGGTGCTAGTGATGAGAAAAGGAAATAAAATGCTGATTTCATTCAGCTTCTTGGGAATGCCTTATTCACTGCCTGGGTGAGTCCCTACATGACTATTACCCAAACTAGCATAATCAGAGTGACTTTTGAAAGACATTTATTTTTTCTGTTTGCCTTTCTTTCAGAACGGGAATGTGCTTTGCAGCCGAATCAGATGTCCAAGCCTTCATTGCCTCTCTCCTGTGCATATTCCGCATCTGTGCTGTCCTCGCTGCACAGGTAAACCAAATTGCCTCTTTCTTTCTCAGCTGTGGTTCTCCTACCTCCCTCATCACCCACCCCATCTCCCTAATACCCCAGAAGGGAAACTTCCAGACAGAAATAACAATAGGACACTTTTAGGCAGCCCAAATTGGCCCCTAAATACTGTTTATAGCCCAGGCAGGGCCCATTCTAGGCTCTAGTAAGTTATTGGGTAAACCCAGTAACAGATTTTCACTGGGCTTTTAATCATTTGAAGGTGAATGTCAGTTGGGGGAAGGGAATTGTAGTTCAGAAATTTTCTGCCATAAACAGCCTCTCTTCCTACCATGGGCAGTGGGCACCAGGGAAGCTGTAGCATGGCAGCATGTGCCCTATACAATTAATGCTGGAATTGCATCTGAGCATAGCTTCTAAATGATGAGGGGCCATTCATAATTCAAAGGAACTGAAACAGTAAGGTTTATGACAGTATAAAGCTGCCTGCCTGCTGTATAGCCACCTCCTCTAGACTGTACAGTTATTATGTACACATTGTTAAGAGCAACTCTAAGGGGGAGCCAGGCAGAGACTTTTTCACAAGGCTGTTATGACGTCTACTTTCAAGGTTTGTGCCTGGGGTGTTTGTCTGAGGCAAGGGCTCTCTCAATGACACTTTGTTAACCTGTGACTGGGGCCTGTACCAAAGGTCTGTAAGTATGGAATAACTCAAAAGATGCCTGTGAGTCCGACAGCAGTTATAGGAAAAGCTAACTGATAGTCTTGGGCTCTAGAAAGTAAAAGCCTTGTAGTCCAGTAAGTGAATTTTTTTCCCTCTAAGATGGGGGTTCTTGACTTGGGGTGTGTGTTGGTGGGCTTTAGGGGTCAGTGAGCCCTTTAAAATCATTTGCAGTTTTTGGTGTAAATATGTATACAGGCAGATTCCTATAGAGGATCCATAGCTTTATTGGTATTTCTAAAGGGGTGTATATAACTCCAAAAAGGTGAAGAATCACAAGTCTAGGACACAGATGGTGCTTTTCTAAGCCGTGAGGAACCTCCAGGACTTAGAAGAGGGGAACCAAAAGCGCTAGGAAAAAATGATAGGAATGAGGCTAGGAAGTTCAGTGAAAACTCGGTTAACTGAAATGTTTCAGGAATGAATTTTTTGTTTAATGAAGAAACCTCCAAATCCTTTTTGTCACCATCTTTATAATGGTTTAATAAATTTTCCTGCATCAGCAGATATACTTTAGTGAACATAGAGGTCTCTTTCCCAGATGGCAAAAGATCATGTCATATCACAAGTTTATCATTCTGAGTATTGGTGATGATAGTATATGCGTAAAGAGATTGACTGGGCATATGACCAACCTAAAAGTTACATTTTGGAATGACTCCTAAGTGAGTCTTACAATTTTTGTATGTATTTATTTCCTTCTTCTACTTAAATTGGATTACAAGAGTGTGTTATGGGAAGGGGCTTGGTAAATAGAACTAAATTTTCTGATAAAGAGGTTACTCTGGAGAGCTTATTTTGTTTGTTTTTAAACCTGCCTGGTACGTTGTCAAAAAGTCTTGTAAAAGCTTTCTTTTCCAGAATTCCCTAAAAGTGATTTAATGTCATAGAAACTTGTGTAAACTAAAACATAGAGATTGTTCTTCCCTGGGAAGGAGGTTAAGGCATGACCCAAAAAAAGAGGATACAGTGAAAGAGCACAGAGTGAAGTATGGATATCTCTTACCCTAGTGGCCTAACAGGAAGCAAGTTTTGGGGAAAAGGAAAAGTATAAGCTAGAAGTTATTTTGAGAGGCAAAAAAAAAGTTAAAATAACTGAGATCATAAATCCCAGAAAAGATGATTGAAAGAAATAAACACCAGTGTCTTTAAGACTTGAAAAGTTCATTGTATGGAGTATAGAAACCAGCTATTCATTTTCTTTTCCTTCTTGTTCTTGCAACTCACTTCTTTGTGAGTTCATTTTTCTTCTTGTTAACTGTAAGCTTTGACACCTCTTTCTGCGGATAGTAGTACTAAAGTTTCCTTATATGCAAAAATGTCTTTATTTTGCCCTCATTCTTTAATGATAGTTTGGCTAGGTATAAAATTTTAGGTCTGTGTTTATTTTCCCTCAGCACTTTAAAGATACTATTTCATGGTTTGTTGACTTCTTTAGTTTGCTGATAAGAAGTCTGCTGTTTGATTGTACTTCTTTTGTATGTAATATGTTTTCTAGCTTTTAAGATTTTCTTTTTTTCTTTGATGCGCTTTAGTTTCACAATGAAGTGTATAGATGTACAATTTATTTATTTTTTCTTTTTTTCTTATTATGGTGAAAATGTACACACCAAAACATCTGCCAACACAGTTTTCACATTTACAGCTCAATGACATTGCTTACATTTTTCATGTTGCGCCACCATTATCACTATCCTCATCTAAAACATTCTACCACCATTAACATAAACCCAGTGCCCCCTAAACAAAAACTCTCCCTGCCCCCCCAAAAACTTCTAGTATCCATTTATAATCTTTGTTTTCTATATATTTTATTATTTCATATAAGTGAGATCATACATTATTTGTCCTTTTGTGACTGACTTATTTTGGTCAGCATGTTTTCAAGATTCATCCATGTTGTGGCATGCATCAGAACTTCATTTCTCTTTACAGCAGCGTAATATTCCATTGTATGTATATACCACATTTTGCTTATCCATTCCTCTTTTGATGGACATTTCAGTTGTTTCCATCTTTTGGCTATTGTGAGAAGTGCCACAATGAACATTTGTGTACAGGTTTCTGTTTGTGTTCTTGCCTTCACTTCTGGTTATATACCTAGGATTGGGATTGCTGGGTCATGCGGTAATTCTCTGTTCAACTTTTTGGTGCAGTTTATTTTTATTTAGCCTGCTTGGTGCATGGTGTTTTCTACCTAAGGACTCAAATCTCATCTCAATTTGTAATCATTATTTTGTGAAGAATACCTCTCTCATTCTTTTTTCTCATTCTCAAAGTTGTATTTGGCTTATGTTACTGCATCTCATTTAATTTATTTCCCATATCTCTTGATGGCACCTTTATTTTCTTCATCTTGGTATAATCTCCATAATGATATATTGCTTCAATTCTGTCCTCCAATTCATGAATTATTTCTCCGGCTTTTTCATGCCATCTGACTTTTTAGTCTGTCTGTTGGATTTTGTTTGTTGTTTTATTTTCAATGAATATATTTCCCCCTCAGTTTTCTAATAGATTCTTTTTGTATCTACCTGTTACTGTTTCATAAACTTCTGCTTTTGTTTCTTGGGACCCTGTTCTCTTTATTTCTTTTAAGTGTTTTAATGTTTATTAAAAGTTCTTTACAGATTGTTTATTTATATATATTTTTCAGGTGTGAATTTTCACTTTTGTTGGGTTTCTTGACAGCTTTTCTTAGTTCTGAATTTCCTTTTGCTTTCTGAAATTTTTGTCTGAGAGCACATCATCTATGGGGTTTTCTCTTACATGAGACCATTCTTGTGGGGTGTTGTTTCAGGCCTTATAGTTTACTCTGCTCTAAAACAGGTCATATATTAGTGTCTCAGCTTGGCCACTCTCATGCCTGGATGGTCTATTTCTACCTCTGTTTTCTTGTGTAGTGCACGTCCCAGATATTGATCTTGGACCAGGACCTCACCTTCAGCTATCTACCTTGGGCAAATAGTGAGTTTTAGATAACAACTGTAGGTGGACTAAGCTATGTCCTCTCCTGTTTGCAGATGAGGAGTATGACCCTAATCACCACCTTCACACAGGAAGTCACTTGCAGGATGTAGCTCCTGCTCAGCTGTCTAGCTAGCCCCAACTCTCTGTATACAGCTCTAGCTGCCAAGGGACCATAAGGCTGTATCCCCCATTTATTGCTATACTTTCTATGTTTTATTCCACAAAGTGTTTCCTTTTGTTTCTGAGCATGATTTTGCAGTTTTAAAGTGTTAACGTTTTTTAGTTTTCACATTTTATCTATCACTCTTCTTTGTTTGGACCAGGGAGATTTTTCATGGGTTCTCTCTGCCATATTGAGCCAAAATGCAAACAGATATTCTTTCTTCCTATTGAAGATAAAACAAAAGAAGAATGGAGTTTGATAAAAGGAAGAACTTTGAGATGTAGTGGTTGTTAAATCCTAAAATAAATGACTAAGGAAAATTGTAGTCCCCCTACTGGATATATCTGGAAATAAAAAGGTACGCACGCATCTGAGACAGCGTTGCCACAGTCTTTCTTTGAAACGGCAATGGATGTGATGACTCCTCTGTATTCCTTTCACCCCAGTGGTTATTAGGCATGCGGAAACTCATGCCTTCAGGGCCACAAAAATGTTTGCTCAAAGGAAGGGGATCTGATGTTCTGTCTTAAGCCAATAGAAGGCACTGTGATGAAAATGTCCTCACTTAAAAATAGAATATTTAAAGCCAAGGTTACGAACAAGCTCTATATCAAAAAGAGAGAGCAAAGAAGCATCCCAAATTAGTGGTTTTACATAAATAGCAGTATCGACTTAGATGAGAGTTCATCTGCATAGTGATGGACTTCAGTGGAAAGGTCCTACTTGCCATGCTTAGAGCTCATCTTGCATTAGAGGAGACACCATCTCTCCCTTATTGTTTCTGTGTTTCCCATGGTTCTTGCCTTTGAAACCTCCTACTCCTGAAATTTCCAAGATGCCCACCTGCATTTGAGGCTGTCTCCTACAACTCTTGGCTAAAGTATGGAAATCAGAGTGTGTAGATTGTTTTTCCAGAATTACCAGAGAGAAATCTATACTTATTCCCATGAATAAAAAATGAAAAGTTTTTCATCAGCACTTCTCCAAGTCTCCATGGAAGAGGTAAAGTCTTGGTCACATATGACAGGGATCTACTGAGCCCAAGGAGACTGGTGCTACATGGAGTCTGGAACATTCTTCTGCACAGGAGTCATGACGGTCTTTAAATCCATCCCATCCTCTAAACAGGACTCTATATAGTCCTGACAATTATATATTTATAGGAAT